CAAATCTATTAAAAAATCGCTATAATTATTAAATTAAAAAGTGTCACTATCCCATTATGAAACCAATAACTAAAGTAACGCATGTCGCTCTTTTAACAATCTAAAATCATCAATAATAGACTTTATACTAAAGGTCTTTGCTATTTTCCTCTCTATATAAAATAAATTTATTTATTATTTTTATCAAATTTATTCGTCGTCACAACTCACAAATCATATAAACTCATAAACAAATATGAATATCCAAGTTAATATTTCATTAAAATTACACAAACAACACTACATGTTTCATATAAAAAATTAAAAATTTATAAAATTAGAAATTACAAACATCAATTAGAAATTCATAGAAGAAGCACAATATGCACAACATAAATCATTAAAATTTACCTATGGAGTCTTGATAGCTGATACTTGATACAGGGCGAAAGTACTACCGCTTATCTTCCAAAATCCTAATAGCCAATGGATGATAATTATACTCCGTAATTTGCAAGTTTTACTTTGTTACAGTACTTCCTAGTACCTAGGTTTATTTAAAAAAAAAAAAAAAAAAAAGAAAAGAAAATAGGCTAATAGGGAATCTAGGAGATAAAGTTGGTAGAAAGTCAATAATGGGGAGTAGCGGTTACATTTACAGTTTACACGGTTAAAGCAATTACATGTTAAAGCAAATTTGAGCCTATATGATTTCTTGTACTAGGCTATCTCTAAATAAATCATCCTATTACACTAATTTTTTTTTGGGCCGGTATCAGGGCCAGGCCCTTGATGGCCCCCCATGATGGTCCGCCATTGTGGGTGGGGGTGGAGATGGTGGTAGCTGAGGTGGTGTGGTTAAGGTGGTGGTAGTTTTTTTTTTTTTTTGTTTTTTTTTTATAATTTTTGACCAATCACGTGGTGACACGTGTGCAAATAATCTCAAGTCACAAATGTTAACCTATTTAAACAGTTTCAAGTGAATTGGGACTGTTTAAAAGCAATAAGGTATAAAGTTGGGATTATTTTGAACGGATGGAGCAATGTTCGGATTATTGTGGGCAATTTTTCCTATTAAATAAGGTAGTAATGACACTCATAGATCAAGCCTTAAAAATCATCAAAAGTATAAATTTTAATACTCCAATTTGTACTCACAACATAAATGGTTATTATTAGAATACATACTGTTATATAATTCTTATATATTGAAGTCCAACATTATATACTCCAACATGTGCTATGTACAATGAGCACTAGATTACAACCCAATTAAAATTCATTCATAATTAAATCACATAAAAATTTGATCAAGAAATATGCACTTTAATCCATTGAATAACAAAAATAATTCCTAATTATGAGTTACATGCTTACATAAGTCTATGTAGCACAGTAGCACACTACATTAAAATAATGCAATTGGATATTCTTAGCTCATTAATTTCTAAATTTTAGCACATGAATCAAAATCTTTTGAAAGTTTAATATCTTAAATTTCAATTAAATTAATAATAAAATTTCATTGTGATGGTATTATATTAATACAAAATTTAAAAAATCAAATTGCAAATCAATGTAAAGAAGGAAACTTTCGATGACTAACAAACAATTAAAATACTAAAAAAAAATAATCAGTGCACAGTCTATGATTGTTATCAAGATCTAAATTGTTGCCTTGTAGGCCAAGGTTAATGCTTAATCAAGGTTAATTTCCTTTGTACTTCGTCAAGGTTAGTTACACAGTTTATTAGTTAGTCTAAAACATAACTCTACCACTACATTTTAAAAGCAAGATATCACAATAAATAAATAATGCATAAAGGGGCACATACCTGATAACATTTATTAGGCAAGATGATAGTTAATAAGATAAAATTAAGAAGGAACTTATCTGGTTTCGTCCATATACCGAGGACAATGACAAATATAATTCAGTTGAGCCTTTTCCAATGATAATAGCCCACATAAAATACGGTTTAGTGTATTCTTCTAAATTGCCGGAGGAGAATTGCATAATATATCCACCAAGAACAATATACGTGGAGTGTGGCTGATAATTAGAGTATGCAGATTAACCTAACTCAATCGGATAGAGCTTTGGTGCCGAATTGCTGATAACGTGTTGTGAAATAAAGAGAATAAAGAGAAATAAGAAAGAGAATAGATCAATCTATTATTCCATTAAATAGGGGATATATATACATACAATATAATAATAAGGGTTTGCTTAGATAACAATAAACCCTATATCTTGAAAATTCCGAAATAATACAAGGAGGATAATGGATATCCACACAATATTTTCATAACAGTTTTCAGTATAAAACGAAGGCTATTTTAATCATTATTCCTTCTTCCTTTGATACCGACATCACCATTCATCTTCTCCTCCCCCACCATAATCTCTTTTCATCTCCTCCACCTTCATCTTTTTCTGACATCACCAATTCCGACACCTTCATCTTTGCCGTCTCCACCGACACCGACACCACAATTTATGTTGTTTCGTCGCTGAAATAAACGAAAACCCTAAGAAAAATTGGATAAAGAAAGGGTATGATTAATCCCAGGTGATCGAAGACCTTTTCTGCCTCCATTGAAGTTGAGCTTTCAATCTACCATTGAAGCTGAGCTTTTTTTTTTTTTAATTAATAGTGCTTGTTCATTCACGCAAAAAACACAAAAATATATTATTGTGCATGAATTTATAGGCATTTTATTTACAAAATTGCCATTTGATATATCGAGGTGAGAAACTTTTACTTTCTTGGTTTTTTTGAGAGCAATATATTTACACACGGCCAATAAACTACTAAGATTCTTATACATTACGAGTAGCTAATAAATAAGCTCAAATCAGTTACAAAATTGCCATTTGACAAGTCAAGGTCGAGTTAGCTAATTGTCATTTTACTTAAAGAATACTTGAATAAGCTAATGAATAAGGTCCTCCAAACAACTTATTGAAAATGAGTTTATTTGGTGGAATAAGCTATTTAAAATTTGACAAACATTTAAATCGGATGTACAATGAAATACTGTACATCTGCTATAAAGTTACTTTAAAATAGTGGCGGAGCCAGAAATTTCATATCGGAGGGATAAATAGACATCGTATAATTTTTACAAAAATGTAGCAAAAATAATTCTTGACATATAGATAGTTTAATATTATCCATTATATTTGTTCATACAATCTAAAAAAATGAAAAAGAATAATAAATCGGACACTTGTCTATGAGAAGAGTCATGGGAGAGTGGTTGGCAAGGTTTTTTGAGAATATAAATTCTCCTCAATCACAACATTTCTTTGATTTGTGGGATAATCTATTATGTTCACTCTATTTTTCCCGGAACATGAGAAAGAAGTTAAACAACATATAGAAATCAATTCTTCCTCGCTTGTCAAAAAAAATAAAAAAAAAATCAATTCTTCCTCCTCTGGTAGTACTTATTAGTACTTGAACCAATTATTTCAATATCACTTTTTTGATCGAATTTGTGGGAAATTTAATGAAGAAGAATCATTTTCTTGGGACACCATTCTTTTAAACATGAATTGTCAAAGATCGGGTAGTTTTCTCGTTGTCTTGGAATCGTTTGAATTAAGGGAACATTTGACATGTCGTAATTAAATTGAAAAATATAACCAATAATTCAATTATCATATCATACAATTGAAATTATAAACAATATTTCTTTCCAAAAAAAAAAAAAAAAAAAAAAAAAAAAAAAAAAAACTTAACTTTGAAACAAAGTAATAAACTCTATGATTCTATCTAAAACAAGTAAGTGATTTAAATTTTAAAAAAACAACTGAAGTAATCCAAACTAATTTATACATACATATAAAAAATTAATGATCAAACAATAACATTTCGGATTTAAACAATGAAAAAAAAAATTATTTTTTTTTAAAGTGGGGGGACAAGTGTCCCCCCTTATACCCCTCTACCTCCGCCTATGCCTTAAAATGATCAAAAGTTATCCTATAATGAATAAAAGTTACCCACATTATATATAAGTTACCTTGACATAAATAAAATATTATTTATGCTTTATTGACAAAAGTTACTTGAAAAAGTTTAGTAGTTACCCTAAATTCAAATAAAATTTATCTCGATGTACAATATTAGTACTGTTCATTGGATGTATACAAAAGTTTTTGTTAAAGTTTTGAGCTAGCTCACCACCAAACACCCCAATTAACTTATTATAATTTGTAAAGGTTAATCTACTAATATTGGTCAAATAATCAAATTTATCCCAATATGCTATATTTGTTTGTTATACAAACAAAAGCCCCAATAAGCTATACCAAACATCTTTATAATTATTTAATTATTTGACTAATACTAGCTGATTAACCTTTGCAAATTACAATAGTTAATTGGGGTGTAGATTTGTGAAAGTAAAAGGCCCAAAAAGGCATAATGTTACACCTTGAAATAGAAGTATAGAATCTTCAAAGTTAGGGATTGTTTGGCATCGTTTTTGGTTTTTAGTTTTTCTTAAAACAAAAAACCAAAAATAAGAAACAAGAAAAAGGTGTTTCTATTTTTTTATTGTCAGTTTTCAAAATTATCATGATTTCAATAAATTTGACTAATTTTTAATTCATTATATATTTATATAACATATATCATATGATTTTTAAAAACAAAAAATCAAAAAACAGAAAACTACAGTAATGCCAAACGAGCCCTAACTATCAATTTTTGTTGTTTTCTAAAAAACTTGAAATATTTCAAAAACAATTCAAAAATTTCGCCTTCCCCTGTGTTTTCCCACAACCCCGCCACATCAAAACTTAAAAAAACACACTTCACACCTCGCAATCTGCACAACTCCACCCCACAAACTCCTCACCGTAGATTAAAACCAATCAACGATCCATAACAACCCTCACCCGCTCACACGGATAACCTCTCACAACCGTCCGATTAAAACCAATCCTCAACACCAAATTATCTCACCACCCAAAAACCCGGCAGTTATAAATACCCCTTTTATCCCACTTCAATATCCACACATTTTCATTTTCACTTTCTCTCTCTTTAAAAAAAAATCAAATTCCAGTTTTTCAACGTTCTCTCTCTATAACCAAAAATGTCAGGAAGAGGAAAGGGAGGCAAGGGTTTGGGAAAGGGAGGAGCAAAGCGTCACAGGAAAGTTCTTCGTGATAACATCCAAGGAATTACGAAGCCTGCTATTCGTCGTCTTGCTCGAAGAGGCGGTGTTAAGCGTATCAGTGGTCTGATCTACGAAGAGACACGTGGCGTCCTTAAGATCTTTTTGGAGAATGTGATTCGTGATGCTGTGACTTACACTGAGCATGCGAGGAGGAAGACGGTGACTGCCATGGATGTTGTGTATGCTCTCAAGAGGCAAGGAAGGACTCTTTATGGTTTCGGTGGTTAGGCTGAGTTTAATTTGGGGTTTCTAGGGTTTGGGGGGATAAATTGGGGGAAATGTGGTTGATAAGTACTTTCTGGGTTTGGTGAAATTAGTGTTTAGAATTTGTAGATCTTTTGTGTTTTGATGGTTTTTATTAGGTATGTAGTGGTGGTGTTTTGCTTGTAATTGTTGGTTATGATTAAATGAAATGAATATCTCGTTCAATCTATTCTTTGTGTTCAGCCATTAAATTGCTGTTTGCATTCTTAATTTCGCACTAATTTTTTGTTTTCTGAACTATTCTGCGAATTTTTTTATATGGTTGGTAGATTTTTAAATGTTTTCCAATCTATTGAAGTTCAATTTTCTGGTCTGATTGCTTGTTATTTAGGGTTTGATTCTGGAATGCTGAAAACTTTGAGCTGAGTTTAACCACATTTTGAAGTTATAATTTGACCTAAATTTACGCAGTTCTTAATTATGCGATGATTTGGGATAAATCAAGTGATTAGGGTACATCATTTTGTGATGCTTGATTAGGGATAAATTATATTTTGTCTGTAGGTGCGTATGTGTCGCAAGTAAATGTCATTGCAAATGGTGAATTTTCTAAGTTTGTTTAGGAGGTGTTGAATAAGGTTTCTGGGTTGTAAGTTAACAGATAAAAGCAGATTAATGCCATGACATTTTAGGTAGTTGGAAAATGTCAAACTCAGTAAATTTTCCGTGCAGTATATGTCTCAATGTAAAAATGATAATAAATTATTGAAGCTACTGAAAATTGTCTTTGATTATAATCATTTCAGAGGAAGCATTGTAGATTTTGATTACCAGAAAGTTGAAACCGAGGTTAACATTTTGAGCAAAACTAATCAATAATGTCGATGAAAAATTGATATGAAAAACTTCATATATTGATATCGAAAATGAACAAATAGGGGAACAGCTCCCTTTAATTATTTTTAACACAAAGGATAAAACAAAATGGTAAGAACTAAGCAATCCTCTACTTTTGAAAAACACTCACAAAAACGCTCACTTCGCGAACTTTTCTTTTACAGATTCCACCCTTTTTCACCCCGCCTATAAGACTCAAAGTTGCCATATTCATTTCTTGGGAACTCCGAGCCTTAGGCGGAAGTCTTCTTCCATAAGCGGGAGTCCTTCCCTTAATTTCACCTTTGGCTCCCAACCAAGCAATTCCTTAGCTGATGTGATGTCTGGCTTCCTCTGTCTTGGGTCATCGGGGGTGTTCTCCACCGAGATTATCTTCACATCTGGATTAATCAGCTGCAAAACATAGCCAGAAAACATGACATAAATATTCCATCCATCGACAAAACACGAAGCCAAGGACCACATGCATATTCAGAAACTCAATTGTATATCCTACTATCCTTTACTGTTTACTCAACATACAATATGAATGCGCAATTGTGCTGTGCAAACTTCCAATAATAATTCAACTTTGGGATGAAGTAGAACAATGAAGGACATCAACACATAAAGCTCAAACAATATTGCCAGCCAGACATTAAGCCCCTTCTCTAGAAACACTAACCATACTGGAGGAGGCCCATGATCTAACCATACAATACACTATCAACATTCATCACGCAAATAGGTTGCAATTTTCTTTCTTTTTTTTTTTCCACACTCGTACACTACAGAGTATAAAGTGAAATACAATATTTGCATTAAATGCTTCAACAAGTGAGTCAATGACGAGCTTAATCAATTTAAGTTGATCTGTATGCAGAAATGTTAAGAGTAATCAAACAATGAAATTGCAATTATGGGCCCAGCCACCGCAAATGACACTTATCTAGATTAAGGTTGATGTATATGGAGTAAAATAATTGTTCTTTTACAAGATTTAATGCTTATATAAGGATTCACATGAAGTGCAACACACTCAAGGGCATAGGTAAGAGCAACAATATAATTTTTCAACGTACCTCTTTCACAGTCTCAGCAAGTTCAAGCATGGTGAATTCACCTAAATACCAGCAAAGGAGTTAGCAATAATATTTTTTAATAGAGAACCAAACAAAATCAAGAAAATATACTAGTGATGCATCATTACCAGGGTTGCCAATGTTGATTGGCCCGGTGTGTTCTCCTTCCATCAGTCTGATAAGACCATCAACCTGAAGTACAATTGATTGTTTTCAAGAAACAATTACTTGTGGATCTAAGAGAAGATAGATATATATAATCCTCAACACAAAAAACAATCACGCACCATGTCAGACACGAAACAGAAACTACGAGTCTGAGTTCCAGGAGCCTGAACTGTCAGTGGTTCATCCCTGCACAACGAAATATAGTGGTACAAAAAACATAAAAATATTGGCCAATTTGATATCATAATTGACATCCAATAGATGATGCAATAACATGAATAGAGAATCATGAAGGACTAGCAATTCAAACATCTGCCCGCTCAAGTTTCAACCCAGATATATCTTAAATACTTCGATGGCTAATCAGATTTCTAAATGCGGGCTTAAAGTTAAATTCGGACCCTATCTATGAGACTACAACATAAGAGTTGCATCAAAATTTGCCAAACTTCTAGAAAGGTGTAAACCACTACAGGATATTAGCTAACCTAAGTGCTTGAGCAATGAAGTTGCTGACAACACGGCCATCGTCGATGTTCATCCGAGGCCCATAAGTATTGAAAATTCGGGCCACACGAATTTCTGTTTCACAATGCAATGGAAAAACAGCTCAAAATCTAGATCTTTCTAAAAAGAGCTAAATCAGAAAAGGTAACAAGCATACCAATCCCGTGTTGCCTGTGATAATCAAACATCAAGGTTTCAGCTACACGTTTTCCCTCATCATAACAACTCCTAACTCCTGTTAGCCAAAATAATATACAAATTTAGTTCTCAAAATAGAATGTATTGTTAAAATGTCCTGCATCCAAAGATCATTTCAGCAAGTATTTAAACAGTGTAAGTGCATACCAATTGGGTTAACATTTCCCCAATAAGTTTCAGGTTGAGGATGGACAAGGGGATCACCATACACCTCTGATGTTGAAGTAAGCAAAATCCTGCAGTGTACAGAAGCAAAAGAGAGATGGTAAAACTAATTGCATGTTACTTGTTACATATAGCCACACTGATGTAGAAAAAACAACCCCACAAACCTGGCTCCAACACGCTTGGCAAGTCCTAGCATATTCAAAGTACCCATCACATTTGTCTTGATTGTCTGTCAGATGTCAAATGTACAGATTTAATAACTGTCTAATGCCAAATGAAAGGGAGAAAAACTCACTGATTCACACATCATAAAATCTTATTATGGCCATCAAAGCAGCATTACAATTTTTAAAAAATCAGCAATTTTAAACAGTTTAGTATTGAGTGTCACAAGCAATCTTCAGAATTCACGTAACATAGTTAGAATGTACTGTATCATACTCCACAAGTCTTACTAAGCAACCCTTTAATTACATATGATCATAAACTGTCAATTAACTGCCCTAATACAGGAAATTTAATACGTGTGAGACCGTGAGCTAGAGTAACCGTCATGGTGTAGGCATTCTGGCACGTAAAACTTACTGAGCTTATTGACAATTGAGTACTGAAAGAAAAACTAAATTCTTTATGAAAAATGGTTCAATAGGTCATAACATGCGTAGCTGCCACCTACCAAATTCCATGAGGAGCACAGTGCTACAAGATAAAACTTGGATCAGAGGAAGCTGTATTGGGCTTGGCAAGGAATTAAAAATAATTTGACCATTTTAAAACATACATATATAATAAGCTGTTATGTACCATTTGAGCACAGAACACCACATAGAAACAAGCCTCAGAGTTCAGAGAAAGGCTGCTATTTGAGTTTTGAGGGAAGCTAAAGATATTGTGAATTTGTGATTTTAAGAATGTAAAAATTGTAACAAGTTCATCCTACACTACCACGTCATAAGTATAGGTGAAAAAAATTGTCACAAGTCTGCCCTAAACTAGCATGTCATTAGTGTGGGTGATAAAATGAATTCAAAAATGCGGAGGCATTTCTGACTATTCTGAGGATAAATCAGCAGACACAGTTATTTGCTGAGGCATTTCTGACAATAAATCAGCAGACACATAATTTTTACTGACAGCATAGTGAACTTCTGGAATATTACGTCCAAAATTGGACCCAAAAATCAATATGAATCATATGCTTCTCAAATAGGTGTCAAATAGTGGAAGCAGAAGTTCAAGCCAATTGCACATTTAAGAGGTCCAACAACAAATGAGAAAATTAGATTAAACCTATACTTACTTTTACAGGGTTGTGCTTGTAAAATATCGGTGATGCAGGACATGCAAGGTGATATATCTGATCAACCTCAATTAGTAATGGCTCTGTAACATCTGCAGACCAAAAAAAAAAAAAAAAATATAAAAAAAAAAAATTTATGAAACTTACAGACATAACTAGCAAAAATATTACAACACTTTCAATAGAACATGCACAGGATGAAGTACAATAATGAACTCTCTGAGTGAAGATGTAAAAATGTCGATATTTACACTAATGTCATTTGGCTAGCTGACTTATTAAAGACTAAGATAACATTAACATAGGAGGGATATTTTAAATGCTAAATAATTTCCAGAGGCATATTAAACACCGCAGAAAGAGAAACAACAGACACAGAAGGCAGCCAACACAGTTAGAGGGCTGCACCACGTTTATGAAAAAAGAGCAACTTTGCTAAATTTCCACAATGTCCATCAATTGGGAAAAAAAACACCCTACTGCTCTATCTTAATTTTCAACAATCAAACAGGGAATTACCCTCCGAATTATTCATACAACATAAGGTTCTTAGATTTAAGGCAAATTAAAGTTAATCATACAGCATACGTGATGATCAAAAATAGATTAACAAGATTAATACCATGACGGATCAGCTCAAACCTCGGGTGTCCAATCCATTTCCTAAGGTTGTCCTTTGAACCAGTAAAGTAGTTATCAACAACAATCACCTGTTAAGACATCAAAAATCAAATTATATTAACCGTGTGAGACAAGATGAGCACTTTCCTATCTACCCACCTCCATTTCCCCTCAAAGAAACAAGAACAAGAACAAGAGCAAGAAAAAGAGGAAACATGCATTATGCACTAAGATTGCTGTATCTTTTCCCTTCATTGATCATTAGTCGATAGAAAAGAAGCAAGTAGGGGAAACATGCTCACCTCATTC